AACCAACTCTTCAAAGCATTTTCAAAATGTATCCCAAACTCCAAGTTGTTTTCAGACTTGTCCAAGGCTCCTGATCTGTTTGAAACCTGCTTTTACTCTTTGGCATTTCCTCATCCCAGGTTGGTATTTGGTAGTTGGTATTTCTATATAATTAAACACCCAACACCCAGGTTTGGGGTGTTTGTTCATCCATTTTCTACTACGTTGCTGACATTTGCTGATTTGTTTTTTACCAAATTGCTCCTCGTACTTCAACGGTTGCCGGAGTGGACGGACATTGCTCCTGGATATTGTGCTGGTTTTCACTGAAGTGAAATAATAGTTTAATTGCCTGTGTGTTTGTAGCGGGAACACAGTGTTTTCATTAAAAACAACAAGGACGTTTGGAAGAGGCTCACACTCCTTCTGCTCCTGTTTATATAAAGTTCATTTGTTGTCTTGGCAGAATGTAAATGATTTAGAAGAAGTAATCCAATATTTAACAGTGTGTGTGAGTGTGTGTGTGTGTGTGTGTCGGTTCTAGTGTTTTAGTTGGTTTCGTTCAGTGAGTTGCTCTCTGCACTTAATTGGATGTGGGACCTAATAGTCCCTGTAACACTGCAGTGTACCGTGAGCTTAGCTTATCAGTCAACATTAGAGTTATGGACGTTATGACCAAAATCTCCGACCCCCTTAAATCCCATGTTCATATTTTGATGAAGTACTTTTTTTTGCTTTGCTCTGTACGCAGAACTTTATGAGATTTGTGTTGACATATTTGGGTTGGCGACACTGCTGCGACTCCAGCTTGCACAGATTGACAGCTCAGTCCTGGACCATAATGTAGGCCTGCCAGCCTCATCTGTTAGCTTTCTTTGGATCTCTGTCACTCTGCCCGCTGGCTCCTACAATGAGTCCAGAATACGTCCTATTCAGACAGCGTGGTGAAAATGTGTCGGATGGACGTCCACATTGATGTCCACTGAAGCATTTTAGAGACTCTGGCTCTTTTCTCCTCGAGACACAACTGCGCCTGTGAATGTGGAGCGGGGCATTTTGGAGGGAGGCGTTGACAACATCTGATGCCTTTTCTTTAACAAAAGATGTTAGTGGTTAGTATGCAGCTGCTGTGACTCCGAGGCCGATGCAGTGTATGTTGTAAAAATCCCCTGGGGCTAAACTTTGAATGGCCTCTGTCTATGCAAACATGGTTTGCATGTCATACGGCCTCCATAGCGATGTCCTCAGTCTGTACTCCGTTCACTTCTCTCTCTCGGTGAGATAGGTGGGGCCCCCACCAGGCCTCGTTGCGTAAACACAACACTTTCCAACTCGAGGCTGGGCAAACTCCTGGATGTCACGACCCCTTTAAACCCTTTAGAAATCTCCCGTCACCCACCCAGCTAGATCAACCCATGGCACCGGCCCTCAACATGCACAGAGCCCCGTGGCTCGACCTCAATCTGTCACAGCCCATCATGGGGTCCTAACCCACCTTTATGGTGGGGTGCATCGAAGTGTGTGGCACAGCAGGAGCCCAACACTTGTATCTGAGTTTGAGGCCTTCACGCTCACCAATGACAACCACACACTGCAACAACTGGATCTTCAATGACAGTAATCTCCAGCAGAAGTCACCGAGGTCGTTTTTATCTGAGAGTTTTATTTTATAAGTAGATCTCAAAGGGAATGCTGGTAGATCATGAGCAAAAACCAAAAATATAAACCATACAGCAGCAGCTGTTTAATCAACACATCATGTATATATAAAGTATATTCAGTTCAATATCATCAATGTAGGTAGATGACTTGGTTCTGGTCATTTGAACAGTAGCTCCAAAGCTAACAAAGTGCGGCCACCCCCGATTTAAATTCTACTTTACTTTTTTTACGTACACTATGTCAAGAGCATCGACGAACGAGGCCAGAGATTCAGTTTTTTCTTCTGATTTATAAGAAAATGAGTTGGTGTTGCTGCATAATCTACTCACCAAACTCCGGGGGGTGCTGTTGGCATGAGGTACGGTTTCCTCAGTGAACGCACAGAGGACATTTGCTTCCTCGTGTTGGTTGTTTGTTTTGCGTAATGGAAATCCAGACAGTACAAACAACTCGGTCCAGTTTTTTTCAGAAGTTGTTGTATCTTTGAACTGCCTCTCTGTTGGTAATGCCTGTATATTCAGAATGGCGTTGAGAGCCATTTGGTGTCCACATGCGTATCAATAATTTAAAGATTCTTTGCTCTTGCTTTAAGACCCCCAAGAATTTGCATCACAGTATAAAACAAAGCTGTGTTTACTTCAAACAGCATACGCTGCTCTTCATCTCCATTTCATACCAGTCTGGTGCAATAAAGCTTCTTCTCACACGTCCCTCCAGTGAACTGAGAAGTTTCAGGCAACGAGCCAAGAGCTCTGGCAAAGTCAGCAGCTCCTTTTCTGATTTGTGGTAGAATCGCCTTCTTTGTAGTGCGGCAGGAAGGGACGCACAAGAAGCAGAGCTTTCACTGGATTTTCTTCTTGACCCCAGGTCAGCTGGCTCTCTGGACCGACGTGGTTAAGATCATCTGAACTACGTCAACGGCGGCTTCTCGACATCTCTATTAGTATTAATGTTAAAAGCTCAGATGGTAGAGTGGTTCCTGGATGAAAAATGGAAGTGGACAAAAGCATCTGCCAAATGAATGTAACATGAAGAATTGTGCGTCCTCCATTCTCTACAAAGGGATGTGTCCAAAAGTCATTTTGTCTCACTTGCCAACAGCCAACAGTCACAGCCTCTCTGTCACACAGTGGTCTGCGTTCGCTCACTGCCTGTAAAAGTGCTGAATGAGAATGTTGGCCAAGGTTCAGCATTCTGAGTCTGAGTCTTTAGGTTTCCTCACAGATGCATGGATATCACCTCAGTATTGGCTGCAGTCATGCAGGTTTCCATGTGTACTTTCTTCACAGTCCCACGTCCAATGAGTGGAAGAGCAGAGATTATTAAAGTGCAGTCAACAGTTCAAGCATCAGCTGTTTTCTCTTGTAAAACAATGACAACAACAGATTTAAATTCATTTGCATGCCTTTTATGGGCCAGACATCCTGAACATTAACTATAGACACCCTACATCTATCACCTCATTAAGTTCATTACAGTACTGTGCATTTTTAGGTGGGTTTTTGTCAACACAGCAGATCCTGGCTGGAATATTTCACCCACTCTTCTTTGGGAAGCTTCCAAACCCACATCACCTGTGAACTGGACCGTTCAGTTTACACTGTAGGTCACTGAATCCAACTTTGACGACACCATTCTAAAAGCATTTGTTTTGATTTAATCAACATGATGGCTACTGTTAATGAAAAGCCACTGTGTATGCAATTTTATTAGCAGCATCCTCGTATCACTGCAAAGGTAAGCATCTTCACATCTATGAAGTGTGAGTCATAGACAGATGCGGCGGAGAGAATCTGGTAATATTTCAAAATAAAACATTGTTCAGAATCAGATAATAAATAAAACCAAAATAATGTAAGTTATGCAGTCCTTCTGTGCAGCCCGGTACTAACTGACCCACGGACCAGTGCTGGTAAAAGCACTTGCTACTCATGTCTCCTTCATGACTGCCGAGGCCACAGTGTGTTCGTTTCATCTAATTATTGAATCAACAGCTTCGAACGAAAAAACAATCTGTAAACCTTCAACAAGGTCAAACACAGAAAAAAGGAAAATTGGATGAAAACGTGAAGAACTATGAACCAACTGGCATTAAATATACATGGAATACTCCAATGGATATACAAACTATAAAAAGTTTAGTAAAACTAATTAACAGTATACAGTTGAATCATTTTTAAGACCGGAAATGGAACGTTGATCATTGTCAGATCAATTACTAAAGGGTTAAGGTGTGAACGTTGTCTGTTCTACACCTGTTTTGACCAAGTAGGACAGCTTTGTTAGCTTCACGGTCGCATGGCTGCAATGGTCTAATTGGCATCAAGAAAGTTTGACAAACGAACCAAACAGCTGCAGTTGTTGTTTTGTTTTTCTGGCTCCAAAAGGAGCAAGCAGATCTTCATCTGTTCAGTAGATTAAAAAAACAAACACCAAACTGCTGTGATGTGACAGAAAAAGGAAACTCATATGTAGAATAATCCAAACCCAAACCACTCATACTTCCATGCTACAAATAAACAAGTCACAAACCTTCACGACCCAAGTCAATAGATATTATTCACAAATCACAAAATAAAGGTGTACTTGACCATTATTGAACATTAATGAGGATATTCAATTGTTGACCGAGTGATATCTGAACAATGAGTACTACTCAAGTTTTAAACACAACCACAGGTGGAGTTTTTAAACCAGCAGCTATTTTGAGGTTGGATTCAGACACCTGTTGCAATGGCCGTGAACTCCTGAGAAACATGATGCAAGACGACCCAAAAAAACCTCTTGCGACCCGCCTGAGGGTCGCGACCCAGTCTTTGGGAAACAATGGCCTACATAACACTGCCTTCCACTTCATTACACAATTACTGAAACACAAACTAGGGAAGTACCAGTACTGCGTTATCGGTATCAGCGAGTTACACACTTACATCGATTGGTTAGAATATTGTCGTCACAGCCGTAGTGTGACGGTGTTTAGTACAACGGTCAGTAGAGGCTGATTTCTTGTCTTCTTTGATATGTGAGCCTCGAGGCATCACGATTCCTTTGTTGTATGAAGCTTCCTCCTTTGTAGTTTGTTAAAAGCAGAAGTAACAATTGGACACAGACAAGCATTAGTATTCGTTCCCATGGCAGAGAAGAAGAAGAGGGAATAAAAAGATAGATAGAAATCTCTGCATTTGTTCGTCCATGTTAGTGAAGCGTGGCTGCTTCAAAGTCTTAATAAACGACTGTGTGAGACTGGAAGCGTTTGTTCTTCAGTTGTCGACCCTAAGCTTTCGGTTTGTCAAAGGCACGATTTATAAAAAAAAACTTTGTTGACCCCCACCCTCTCTTGATCTCTCCCCCCTCTGCAGGTCCAGGATGGGGCTGGCTTCGTGTGAAGATGGGCGGCACATCGTCTTGGCTCTGATCCTGGTCTTTTATTCGAACTTAGGTGAGTTTTTTTTTTTTGTGTGTGTCTTCCAAATTCCACTTTTTGTTCTCTTCGGCCGTTTCATCTCCAGGAGCTGCAGACACTAATTAGCAATTTCAGATATAAAGAAAACAGCTGTCAAAGGAAGTTGAGTCAAAGAGGGAGGATGATGTCAGACAAGGAGACAAGAAAGAGGACAAATGAGAAGAAGGAGTGAAGCAGCTGGACGAGGAGAGAGATTAAAAGAGTTCCCACATTATTCTCTCCGAGGACAGGACAGGTGTGAACTAATTTGACTGTTGAAAGTGAAGGCTGACATAGTGAGGACGTCTGCAGACATGCACAGGGGGACTGAGCTGGAACACCTCCAAACCTGTTTGTGGAACTCCGGTTGACCATCTGTTCTGGTACAATTATGCGTGAAACTCAACAATTACAGAACAGAAAGAGACAAAAACATGTCAGAGTCGCAGGTCTCTGGTGGATCGTATCAAAGGTTTGCAGTGGCACACTGAGCCTGTTCACCGCCTGTACTGAAGAATACTTTCTCTCCTTAATTACCTTCCTTATACTTGGCAGGTGGAACCACGGCTGGTGGCTCTGGCACTTTCTACTTTCAGGAACATTAGAAACAGCAGCTTTTATTTCCAAGTCTAAAAAAATATAAACCACAGTCAGTTAGTCAGTGCTGCAGGAGAGAATGTTTGTAATGTTTTCAGTACATAAAAGCAAAGGTCAAAGGGTCACTCCACTCTTCATTAAGTTTTTTCATTCATGCATAAAATGAATTTCTTTTCACAAAGGTCAAGGTGATTTTTTTATATCAATACATACATGAGGCAACAATTTGATATTTGTTAGCTTGACATTATAAAGTCTAAAACTGCTTTGAAGTTTTTAATAATGAATATTTATCTCTAAAGTACAATGGAAGCATGTGTTTGTACGATGGAGAGCCAATAGGAGGAGCTGTACTGCAACTGGTGAGACAGTAAAGAGTGGTGGAGAAGTATGTGTGGGTGGTTAAGTATAGGTAAGTAGTTGGGTCTGTGTCAGGGGTCACATCAGGGGTCACATCAGGGGTCAGCCCTGTTTGCTGTGACAGTTGATACAGTCAGGAGTCTCCGTGGACCCTGATATTTGCAGACGACAGTCAGCGGGAGCAAGACAGAAAACATGTGTGTAAGTGGAAAGAAACGCCTCCATGGAGTCCACCTAGTAGAGGTGGACGGGGTCAAGTACCAAGGGTGACCCATCCAGGGTAATGGACCGGAGAGGCTGGTGTAGTGTGTTAGCAAAGTAAGAAGAAAGCTATGTTAGATAGTGGTGAGACCTGCTATGAAGCATGGGGTGGAGACCGTGGCTCCGTCTTAAAGACAGGCAGGTGAGCTGGAGCTGGGAGAGAAGGAGATGTGGAGATTTTCACTGGGAGAGACCAGGATGGAGCAGATCAGAGGGACAGTTAAGGTGGAGGGCAAAGCAGAAAGAAGATGTACATCTATAAAGTACCAAGAAAACTACCCCAAAAAACAGTTCATGTTAAATAGTACCTGCTAAAATACAGAAATATGTGAAAACAAAAACCATGAAATTAAAATAATATTAATGTCACAAAAGGTCTGAGAAGTGATTTTTTGAAAACAGTCAGCCCAAAAGAAGTTGCCCAGAAGATGGATAATGATGCCGTGGAAATGTTCCAAAATGCCCTCAAACCATATTTTAAAGCTCTGTGACCCTGCTGTGAGAGTGCAGATTTATTGATCCATTTATCCCTAATGTGAACAGATGAGTGGACTGTGGAGGAGACGTAACAGGATTAAAAGATGACATCTGTTAATGACGGAGTGTCCTTTCATGTCACCTCCAGCTCTCCGCCTCACTTTTTAGCCACTTTGTCTTTTGTGTCATGTGTCAACACCAGACTGCAGGAAACGCTCGTCATCCTCACTCCCTCCGTTCGGTGTCTTCCACGCCCTCCCCTCTTCCCTCCTCTCTGCCTCGTCTTCATGTTGTTCTTAGCTTCTCTGCTATTTGTGATGTGTTGTTTGATTACATCTGATTTGCTGGGAGCTGCTGCTGCTGCTGGGGGTTCACCTTTGTGGACGACTTCCAATATAAATGCAGATGGAAAATATTGTTGGGGGACTCAATTCCCCCTTTTGCAATATTGTGAAGCCCCCTAACAGGTTTTTTTTCCAACACAGGTTCAATTGTTAGTCTCATATTAGTTTTCCACTCACTGGTGTATTTGACTAACAATAAGCAATTAAATGGAGGGGAGAAAAAAAAGGGGAGAAGAAAATACCCACAGCCGCACGACTTGTGTTGACAGAAGGTTTCCTCCGGTGTGTTTTCTTCTGTGTTCAGATGATTTACTCAGGGGCAGACAGAAGTTCCTCTCTTGATTACACCTGCAAATAAATTACATTTTTATTAAAAAAATTTGGATTTTTTTTAATAGTGTGGAATGTGTCATAACCCCATATACTCTACACTCAAATAAATACAAAAAAATAGAAAAATAAAATCTCTGTAAGTTGGGAAAATACATTTTGATAAAAAATTTTAATTTCAACTCTGATGTTACCTAAGGCTTGTGGAATAATAAGACTGAGGATTCGATGATCTGGTTGGTTAGTCGCTGATGTCTGTGTAGATGATCATGTTGTCATGGTTACAGTGAACCAGTTCATCATGGCAACCAGAGTAGTTGCCGACGGATGTTGATTTCAAGCTGTAGAAGTGAGATTTTGCTGATGCTTCTGAGAGGAGAAAAAAAAACAGTGACTGAATCAGTGAGATATATGGCTTTTATGGCTTCCAGTACTATTTTGGAACATGTCATAACTTTTTATATCTTGTTTTTTTTTTTATCTAGCCTTTTTTTATCATTTTAAATGTTACATTTTAACAATCATAAGGTGTGGCCATAGTTTTGCTAGTTTTCAGAAGTTCAGTCTTTATTTTGGCAACCTTCAGGTCATCTCTAGCTTATAATAATATATCTTTTTTATTTAGCTAACTGTAACCATTAGCGATGAGGGTATCGATTACAGGCATTATTTATCTTTCCCAAATTTCCTACCCGTTTATCCATTATTAATTTATCGTTTCATTTTATTTTACCTATATTTATTTTTGTTTTGCTCGGGCAACAAAATCTCCCGTCATAAAAATTGAATGGGCAAATTAAGAAATTTCATGGTAATTTCTGACCCTGGTGTGAAGGTGTGTTTGTTTGGGTGCCTTCTGAAATATTGGAAAAATAAACATCTTCTTCAGCCTTGTGTAAAATGTGAGACTCGGGTAATAAATCCACAGGCAGCTGACACCAGAGCAGAGACACTGAAGGGTTTTGCTGCTTAATGCACCGTATGGCATTTACCCTAACAGACCTTTGGACTTATTTATGTTCATTAAAAGTTTTTCCCGCTCTTTCACTGTGCATTAACTGTGCTGAATAACAATAACAGATTTCTGCCCTTTGTTCACTCTGCTGCTTCCTTCCTCTGGACATTTTTAATTATACATTTCTTGAACGTTCTGTTTGCACATGGTGTTTTTCTGCAGGTGATGCCTCCTCCATAGTGAACATGCGTAGGATCTCTCATCCTGCAGTACAGCAGACACTGGCGGGCAAAGCTGTCCTCCCATGTGTCTTCACCCTCCAGACCAACTCCTCCTCTGAGCCTCCTCACCTCCTGTGGACTCGCACCAGGCTGCCAGCAGGAGGACAGGGCGCTCCTCAGGAGGAGACTGTGCTCTCGGCGAGAGGTACGACAGTCTTGTGTCATTATCACACTCTGGGCCTAAACGCTGTATTATGTTCTCTGCTGTAGCTGTGGTGCTCATAACTAACTGCATGTTCTCCAATAATATAATCCCAGCGCTGCAGTTCTGCTGAGCTCAGAGTAATTAAAGAATAAATCCAGGACGAAGACGCGAAGATGCTGACAATGGCAGCCACTGGATTCAAAATGATAAACAGTTGCAGACTTTCCTCAAAATCTGTCTGAGTGAAGACATTTTAACCAGGTTGTGAAGAGGTACAGATTGAATTAATGTACCTCGGGCCCTTGTGCTTTATAGCTTGAGCATATCTCCGTTTATTGTTTCTGTGCGCAACAAATTGCAGACATAAAGTTTGTCACTAGCTTGTGAAAACAGCAGGGCATTTAATGTCTGCAAAGGCAGAAATGAGCAGCCTGGAACCAAGCTGAGCTGGAAGAGAGTGAATATTTTTCTTTTATTTGTAAAATAAAATTACACTGAACAACTGGTTAACAAAACCTTAAAGTCCAAAGCAGAACAACAACCAAGACAATACAACACCGTGTCATAAAAACTAAAATCAGTAGATCGGTCCTTTATTGGAATCTCAATTTAACAGGCAAAATAGAATTTAAGTTTAGGGACCTTCCAAATCTCAAAATGTATGTAACCTAATCTAATATAATCCAATCTAATCCAGTCCAATCCAATCCAATCCAATCCAATCCAATCCAATCCAATCCAATTCAATCCAATCTAATCCAAATCAATCCAATCTAATCCAATCCAATCCAATCTAATCCAATCCAATCCAATCCAATCCAATCTAATCTAATCTAATCTAACCCTGTACTAGCTGTTGGATCTGATATTAGCAATAGTACATTAATAATACTTTTGATGACTGACATCCTCTCCATTTCTTGTCGACCTCGATGATTTGGAGGAATCTTCTACTGAACACAGTTTGTTTTTTTTTCCTGTTCCAAAGGTGATGTAATCAAGCTGAATAAGGCTTTCAGCGGCCGTGTCAGGCTGCCAGGATACACTGCCAGTCCTCTGAACGCTACCATGGAGATCTCAAGTCTGCGCACCAACGACTCAGGCACTTACCACTGTCAGATTGTCATGGGCAACGACTATGAGAGAGACACGGTGCCCCTGGTGGTCTCCGGTGAGTGCAACAGTCAGTGACAGGGACTTCACTGTGAGAAAGGTTCTGTGCTGCAGCTCCCCAACGGAAATATGTCAACTGGTGGATAAATGCAGTGGACAGATGGAAGAGTATCAAGGCAAAAAAACAAAAAAAAACCCAAATCATCCATTTGTTTTCTTACTTAATGACTTAAGTTTGGGAGCTAATTGCTATTGCTAACAGCATTCTACATTACTTTATGTAACATAGTCCTTAATTCATTGTGATGTTTTGCTTTTACTAACTAGATTTCCACTTGAGTGACTATTTAATTCACATAATTAAAGGTTTGGATAGAAATTTGCTCACATTGATTTTGGGAAATGCAAAATTGGTTGAAGACCAGGTGTTAGTGGTAGATCAGAGGCTGGGGCTGTTTTTATGTTTTCATAACTGAAATGACTTTTCCTACTTTCCTACATACTCTCTTCTCTGTGTCCGTCCAGGTGTGGTCTTTCACTACCAGGTCCCCAGCGATCGCTACGCCCTATCATTTATAGACGCTCAAAGGGCCTGTCAGGAGAATTCTGCTGAGATTGCAACAGCAGCCCAGCTGTGGGCAGCGTACTATGACGGCTTTGCCAGCTGTGCAGCAGGATGGTTGGAAGATCAGACCGTCCGGTGAGGAGACTCTCTATAAACTTCTCTCTGCTTGTTACGCTGAAGGCCTGTCACCTGTTTCTAACAGCAGGTTTAAACACGTTTAGTGCAACACGCCTGACATGTGAAGGTATGAGGTGAATGTAATAGCAGAAAAATGAATTAAACATCACATTTCTGCTGCACGGACACAGAGGCATAAGGTTTTTTGAAGCATAAATATGTTGCCTTTTCGAGCGAGTGTTTTGGCAGGTATCCTCACTGAATCAGTATTTAACTTATTTAACTAGCTACCTGCTGAATTACTGCCAATGCATTGTGCCAAAATGATTTATTAACACAGCAGGTGCACATGCATTAACAGATCATAAAAAATAAATACTGCTGTGGGAAACTGTTGTACTTTGGCTGCAGCTGAACTGTTGAACTTGAAGTAAATCTATTTTCCATCGTCAGGATTACTGTTTTTCTTGCTGTTTCGCAGCCCCTGAGTGTAACAGTGAAAAAGTGCTGAATTTCAGGGTTTATACTTAAGATATTCCCAGAATCACTATAATGTATTCTGCCTCCATTTTTTTTTTCAGCTGACAAATACACGATATGTTTGCTTGCTACCAGAAAATAACAAATTGGGGAAAAAAACTTGCACTTTGCTCAAATCCTCACGTAGCACTGAGCAAACTGGATTATTTCAAATATTTATATATAAATCTAATCTAATCTAAACTAATATTATCTAATCCAATCTAGTCCAATCCAATGTAGTGTAATCTAATCTAATCTAATGTAATGCAATCTAATCTAATCTAATCTAATTTAATCTAATCTAAAATAATCTAATCCAGTCCAGTCCAATCCAATCCAATCCAATTACTACATATACTATATATATATTTCAATTACAAAATAATTTCATCTTAAAGACAATGTTTTCTATTCCTTTAATATGCCTTTTTTTTCTGTTTACTTCCTGTTACGTCTGCTGTTACAATGTAATTCTGCCTTTGAATCATATTCCAGTCGTCATCCGTGGGATTCTTTTGCTAATTGTATTTCAATCCTTCCTAATCCTCTGCCTTTTCAAAGCTAAGATGCAAATACAGCATGATTCCGTTCTCTCCTGACATTTAAAGCCTTAACGCAGCACACGCGTGTCGACGTGTGAGCTGAGGCGCTGCCGTTACAGTCACACGACCAACACAGATCCATGCTACTTATTTACTGCAGCCACTGAAAAGAAACGTGCTTCATTCTCACACTGTGACTCCCACATGGTCGTCTCCACAGTTATTCTGTCCAGGTGCCAGATCTTGGTTGCTATGGTCACAAGGAGTACTCAGCTGGAGTGAGGAATTATGGGAAGAGGGACCCGAAAGAGCTGTTTGATGTGTACTGTTTCGCCAAAGAGCTGGATGGTACATGTATACATACACACACACACACACACACACAGTGCATGACAGAACTGGTGAATATACAGTATAATATTCAACACATTGTTGCTCGAGTTTGTCTCAGATAAATCCTGCGGTCGTCCTGTTGTGTTGAATTAAAAAAGATAAAATATTCTGCAGCGTTTATCACTGTTGATGAATGTTTAATCAAAACAACACAACACTCAAACGTTATTTATAACAAAACGTTCAGTATTTTTCTATTTGGTCAGTTAGCTCAGGCATATTTACACGTGAGCTGACACAGACGGGACATTGTACAAATTAAAAGAATTAATCAGAAACATTTAGTTAGTTTAGTTTTAATTAATTTCCAAGGATTTAATGGAATTCTGATACTATTGGGCAACTAAAGAAAAACAATGATTTAGTTAAATTTAAAAGCCAATGCTGAGAAATTATTCTGAGAATGATGTGATCTTTTTAGAATTGTGGATTACCTGCAAAAACAGGTAAATAAAACAAAAAGAACACTCACCCTAAGGCTCCATTAACGTTAATGCCAAGGTCAGATCACTTGTTATAGGCTGGATTTTTAATGTCAAATTTCACAAATGTAGCCAAAGGAGCTTTTAGAATTCCCTAATTCAAAGTCTGGTTTGTTAGAATTTTATTCTAAGACAAAAATATCCACAATCTTCCTCTCCTTTAGAGCCTTCAAACACTGCTAACAGATGCTACAACCTCAGGGCAGCCCATCCAGGGAATGCTTTAACATCTATATGATGAAGTACGTCTACCTTCAACCACGTTATCTTGTTGTTCTAGCTTGACCTTAAAAACTCAATTCCAGACATCCAGAGCCTCCAGTCCTGCATATCGACAACAGCTCCCTGGAGCGTGCAAATTAAAAATATCACAAAATCCAGACTGAGCGATCAGAAACATGCACTGGAGGCAGAGAGAGCAACAAGTAAGCTTAAAACAGAGGTTGACACCAGGAGAGTGAACGAGGAAGACACCAGCGCGTCAGTGTGGGTTAATGACGGGCGTCCGGGACATAAAACATCCAGATTGGTCGGTTTCGCTAAGTTGACCACAGGGAATAGATTATCTGGTATTATTTTATTAGTGGTACCCAGCTTACGATAATATTGGTATTATATTATTGATGTTACTGTAGGAGGAGATTAAAATACTGTGCTGTCTGACCTCGGCACAAGCCTTTCCAAAATCAGGTGTCGATTTTGAACACGAGTCTAATTTTACTAGTCATCCTTCAGGCTTTATCTGTTTCTTGACAAACTGTCATGTCTCACTCCTGCAGGTGAGGTGTTTCACTCCTCCGTCCCAGGCAGACTGTCTCTGTCCTCAGCGTCAGATCGCTGCGTTTCTCTCGGAGGACAGCTGGCCACAGTCGGGCAGCTGTATCTGGCCTGGAAGGCCGGTCTGGACAGCTGTGCACCTGGATGGATGGCTGACGGCAGCGTCCGCTACCCAGTGACTTGGCCACGCCCAGACTGTGGAGGGAGTCAACCCGGTGTCCGCACCATCACACCGAATACGACCACTGACAACAGCACGGCACTGTACGACGCTTACTGCTACAGAGGTACTGTTCAGGAATCTGAGCTTAAACAAAGACCAGAACCATGGGATTTAAACATAATGTCCACATGTTTTCTTTCTTTACTTACAGCTGTTGTTGATTTTTCCCAACTGGTGTAAAATTAAAACACAGTAAGACTAACTAGATGGAATCCTTCAGTGCACCAACACCTAATCTCGTCATTTTGTTTCCTAGGAAACGTGAAGAGCACAGACTCGGTCTCTCAGATCTACAGCTCCCTGTGGAAGCCCTGGAGCTACCTCACAGGCTCAAGTGATGCTGACTCTACAGAGACAGACAGTTCTGAGCCGACTGCACAGCCATCCAGCATCACAAAAGGTTTCGTATTCATCTCCAATTTTAGAATCGCCACCAAAGGATTGTTTGTAAAAATGTTCAAACAGTAAATGAATACATGGTACAATCACCGTGACTGAGTAAAAATTAATTGTTCTTTTTTTTTTAACGCACGTGCAGGATTCTTAGACGGCGGCGATGGTTCACCAGCCAACTGGACCGGATTGGTTGATATTGAAGAGGAGGCCACTTCAAATACCACTGATCCTTGTGAGTCACCATCAAGTCAATGAAATAATTAAATCATTTGTCTTTTAAGAAACCTTTGATTTCTACTTTATGTGTGTGTGTGTGTGTGTGTCCTCAGCTGCAGACCCCTGGTCCCCAGAGTCTTCAGCCTCTTACGTGACCCTCCAGCTGATCCCAGGCCACAGCTCCTTAGACTGGGGTGAGCCTTTGGAACCTGGGCCTGACTCAAAAGACTTTCTTCGACCTCCGGTTCAACCGACTTCTGCCGAAAAGAAGGTGGGACCAGTTCCACCACCAATGAGTGTAAAACACTGACCAAATAATGACCTTCCATCAATGAATCACTGTCTATTTTGATCATGATCTTAGGTCATCTCAAAGATATTCAGCTCTGTTTGGAAGCCTTGGAATTACCTGGCAGGGACTGGAGATGAGGAGGTCACCCAGGCCCCCACTGAAAAGGAAGAGGAAATAAAAATAGTGACCAAAAAGGTTGAACAGGAACCTAATCCCACCCCTGCAGCATCACCAGGTGGGTGAAAATTGCAATTTCATTCAAAATTCACACGCATTTGATATGAATACAAAGTTGTTCACACTATTCATGCAAAGCAATGTCTTTCATCACGATGACAACTGCTTACAAGTACAGTAAATAATTAGTGTCGACCCTCTGCTCCACTATGTTTTTTCTAATGTGAATTATTTAGAAAGAGCGCCTCCTCTGGTCTGCGTCGCATACAAGCTCTCATTAGTGGTCTTCAAACAAAATCCCATTCTGACACAAAACGAAAACCAACCCAATCTGCATCTTTAAAAACCACAGAGCACAGAGGAGTGGAGACAGAAAGCGATAATCATCTCCCCGTCTCTGAATGTCTCTCTTCACCTGAATGCCCATTGTTAACACTGGGGAACATTTAATGGAGGTTAAAGAGATCAGTTTCTTCTGTAAAACAATCTCGGGCAGGCAATAGGAAGGGAATGAATTCCAGATCATCAGTGTGTAGTTGTTGTGGGCGGAGAGGAGAGCGTTTTGCTCGGGGCTCTCTGAGGTTTGTGGGTTTTTATTAGCTGCTCCTGACGTAGGTCGCATGCTCAGCGTTCACTGTTGTTGATTTATTTCAAGGCCAATTGTGAGCATTTCAGTTCCATCATTGCCTTTGGTTGTGTATGTGTAGCAGCTGTGTGTCTGGTCACTGAAGTCACTATGAAGAAATCATGCAGTAACTTCTTGGTTACCAGCTATTGTTGTTGACTGATTAAGACCAACACTCACTTTTCCCCTATGTGCTAAAATGCTGTGAAAACAACATTTGTTTTTTAGTAATGACTAAGTTACACCAACAGACAAATGGACACGCCAGTGGTTTTCACAGTTACATTTACACATTTTTGTTATGAATTCTAATTTGAAATATTGTTGTGACCAATTGGTAATATAACTATTTAACAATATAAATATTAAACTATTTTGTTAGCAGAGAGATGTCAGCACTAAACTTGGACATCTCTTCTTGTGCTACTTTGTCATGTCTGCATCTAACATTTTAATTCTCTTCATTGGAAGCAAAACTGAATCATTATTTTTCCTCACAAATGTAAATAAAATAATGATCTGCTCCCTGACATTTTTTGTGTCGTTTACCTTTGTATTCCCATTTGTTGTGCTGACGTCTGTCCTTCACCAGAGGAAGACATTTTTTCATGGTTCTTTATGATCTTTAAAAAAACGCATGTACTTTCTAATCTTTATGCAAGAGCTAATTTAAGACATTTCTCTTTCTCTGCAAATATTGTTGAGATGCTGAGGATTTTTCTGACCTTTTTTCTGCAAATATTGTTGTTGTCCCACGCAGTGCACAGAGATGCTGAGGATTTTTCTGACCTTTTTTTTAAACTCTATCTTCAGAGTGTGCATTAAAAAGTAAATAACCTGCAAAGATGTGATAATGAATATCTGAGACAGCTTCAAAATGTTTGTTTTCTCTCTCCTGGAAAGCAGGGCAATTTCACAAGATGATTTTCACTTGGGTTCTTTTTTTATTTTTATTCCTGTCTGCACAAATACACCCCTGACGTGCCTCCCTAATTTCTTTCTTTCTGCCTGTTTCATGCTCTGCCCAGGTTTCTTTTCATGGGGAAGTTCATGGTTCAACACTCCCTGGAGGGAGAACACTACACCAGCCGGTGAAGACTCACCCACTCGTCTGACATCTACTTTCCCCACCTCCAGTATTGCTATGACTACAGAGAGCATCCAGAGTAAAGAGAATTCAGAGAGCCACACTTTCACAGTCTCCAGCTCCACACCTGAAATCTCTTCATCCAGTGGGGACTCCTGGGTCCGTGTTGATCCAGATACCACCACCACCACCACCACCACCACCACCTCCCAGCCCAGTGACAAGAAGGCAGAAACAGTCACCTTCAGAGCCGGTGGTAGGGGTGGCAGAGGGAGAGGAAAGAAGAACAGAGCAGAGGACAAGAGCAGAGGGGAGGAGAAGGGCAAAGGAGACGATGAAGGAAGTGGAGAAATCACCGGAGCGGAGGCCAAAGGGGAGATACAGGTGTCACGGAGGCCAGTGGGATCGAACAGAACAAGAGAACGCTCCAGAGAGAGGTCTCGAGAGAGGGGACACAGGAAAGGACAGACTACGACCTCCTCCACCACCACCACGACTACCAGCACAACTGCCAGTCCTCTGGAGACCTCGGTGAAGACCACAACTGAGTCAGACAGCACCGACTTCTCCACAGACCAGTCCTTTTCCACTTACCCCTCAGAAACACCATCACCATCAAACTCTGATGTCTCTCATCCGTCAGCTTCCTCATCTACACAGGCGTCACCTACAACCACAGAGTCCATCAAAGAGTCCTCCTCTGAAACAGCATCATCTCAGTCCATCACTGAATCACAATCTTTCTCCCTCACTACCTCTGTGTCCTCCTCCACTTCAACCGATTTCTCATCTCCCATGTCCTCCACGGACCCATCCCTCTCACCTACACCGTCATCGTCCTCACCTACACTGTCATCGTCCTCACCTACACCGGCATCGTCCTCACCTACACCGTCATCGTCCTCACCTACACTGTCATCGTCCTCACCTACACCGTTATCGCCCTCAGCGACACCGGCTTCGTCCTCAGCGACACCGTCATCAGCCTCTTACCAGTCCCTGCCTCCAATGGTCGGATCCGGAGATCCTTCACCATCTCCTTATCTTATTAACGAGGACATATCCAGCAACCCACCAACGGTGCTGCCATGGTTACCAGTGAAGAAGGTGGATCAGAACAGCTCTGTGGAATACCATACCTTACTGTCCCTGCCTGCAGAGGAGGAGGACCTGGCCTGGGCTCACACCGTGGGCTCAGGAGCTCTGTCACCTGGGAACACGGAGGAGGAGACCACCAACGGAGCGAACACGAGCGCTGTTACCGTCCAGCCAACAGGTAAGTGCTGTTTATTTACCAGTCTGAAACGATAAGATATTAAATGTGTGTTGGCATCACAGTGTCACTGTTGCACTTCATTTGGCTCAAATCAAGACTTGATCTGATTCATCACTAAGGCTGCTCCACAAACAACTCCCTCAAAGTCAAACTTTCTCTGTTGACATAGAAAATGTCAAAGTAAAATTTGGATTAATGTAGACTGAGTTGGTTGTGGAGTCTGATTGTTACAATTACACAGATGTTTGTGCTCCTTTGTTCACACTCCAAAACGATTGTTACAACAGATTTTTGTGCTCCTTTGTTCACACTCCAAAAATAATTGCAAGTTTAATCAAGTACTATTCCACATAAAGTGGTTCTACATACAACGACGAACAAGTCGTTCTCCAGGCACTCACATCTTTTGAGGTCTACATTGTGTTCCTTATTTTGTCCCCAACTGTAGCAGGCTCATTCTGACTAGTCCTTTTTATTTTATATAATATATTGCCACAGCCTTTTGGACTGAATATGTCAGTAAACAATCAACATTTTTTATGCGCTACTTTTACAACCCCTCACCTCTATTTTCAGCAATAAATGATTTAAAATGTTAAACTTCTCTTTTAATTTTTCATGTCGTTGGTGCATACATTTGGCAATAGATTTATGTCAGAAAAAGTAGAATTAACAGCCAGGTTTGGTTTGCAGACTAAGTGCTCTTGTTAACTTTGGTTAAAGGAGCTAAGTGTTGAAAACGACTCTGTTTCTCTTTAAAGATGTCCTTAACTGGAGCTCAGGGGCTTAAGACAGAAAAAAAAAACAACTCAATCCCATTATTTCTCCGTTACCAACTTTACATTCTGCACAGTGCACTCGAGCAGGTATCATTATCCTGGCATTAATGAAAGCCAGACTCATCCATCAGAGTGTCACATGGAGAACGGTTATTTATCACTCCACACAATGTTTCCACTGCTTTAAGGTCCAGTGAACGCCTCTTTTACGCCACTTCAAAATAACTTGTTAGGGACATATTGCTTCCTCTCCTGGTGGCTCAAAACCACACACACACACACACACACACACACACACAGAGCTGTGATGAACAGGTGTTTATATGGAGAAACCTGTGCTGAGGTTTAGAAAAAAACAAACAAAAAGGAATCGTTGTGGCACCTGCATGGTTGATGTGATAACAATGTGGAGATCCCCTGGCGGTCTAGGCCTAGAGCAGGATAACTGAGGGATATTTTTGGTTCGATTTTGCCAGTGTTTACCATAATATTAATTCTTTCTCCCAAATTCTTCCTGGCGACTAGGACTTAAACAGTAGAGTATTAAAAACAAAAGTCCTATCATACAGTGGAGTGTTATCAAATATTTATGATCAAGAATCCTGGGAATAAACACTTTGTATATGAGGAGTCAAATCTTTTCCTGGATTAACAGGAAGTCTGGAGAGAAAACACTAGAATGCTGATGTTTTTTTTCTCCTACTGTTTCAAACAACTCAGTCTGCAGCAAGTCGAGGCTTTTCAAAGACAAATTTGAAATACAATCCATTCGAGAAAAGTTGTTTCTGCATCATCTAACGATCATTCCCAAAGCAATAAGCATCACATACAGTGAAATAACTCCGTGGTTCCTGATAGGTTAACAGAAACCTGCGATTTCCTGAGATGATACCAGCCACTTTTTAAATTATTTAAACAATTATGTTGTGTTCTGTTTGTAATGCTTTTATAACTGAATAAAAACAACGGCTAATTGATAAATCCACCATTAAAGTAAGATTACTCTCCAGCTGTTTGTGTTTTTTTTCTTTTGCTGCTCCTTTTTTAGTGCAGCCATTGATTGTTTTTAACCACAGGACTAACCCGCTGGCTTAATCAATACGACCGACAAAAAAACTCAGTCTAAATGAAGACAATAGGAGCACGGCGGCGAAGGAACAGAATTATCTTTTGATACTAGGCTTGTTACCATTCCTCAGTCCTCTCCACTGGATTACATATTCAGAAGATTATATTTATTTTTTCCTCCAGCGGAGGCAGCGGTGACATCACTGTCACGGTTCATCTCAGTAATGTCGCAGGCCGGCCACCTGCTTTACTACTTATTTTATACTTAATATCCAGAGTGCATATGTTGCACATATATATAAATCCCTGAAAGCCCAGTGGGCAACATAACACACGTATCCAACCTGATTTATTTCGCTTGCGTTAAAAGCCACTCAGTCACGACTGCGGCAGACAGTAGTGAGCCGCCTGTTTCTTCTGTGTGAACAGAAAACAGCTGTACAGTGTATCAACAGGTAGCCGAGGGCATCCATCTGGACTGGTGTATAGTAGCGGAGGTGATTGATTGACTGAGCGACCCTGGAGTTCTGTGGGCAGAAGGCCATAAACATACAAACACCCTGATAGAGTTGAGGGAGAGGACGTGGACGGATCCGCTCGCAGCAGAGTAATGGCTTTCACCTTACATCTCTCTCACTCTCATGCACACTCTCCCCGGCTCCTGTGTATTGTTCGGTTTTAGTGGTAGTGGTGGTAGTCAGGTATTTACTCCTGCGACTGGATCAGGGAGCGTTTGATTAATCATTCAGTGAAATCAATACGAGAGTAAAAAAAAGTAGCTTTTGATTTGATTAAAGCAGGCTTTCACGATCTCTTTGAGCCACGTATTTTATACTAGAAAAACCCATGCACCATTGGCACACCACTAAACTAAAATGTCCCGAAAAGTACGTGTAATGAAGGTTAATGATCTTCTAGTTTTAATTTACTCAAAAGGTTAATGATATTCTAGTTTTAATTTACTCACTATTTACCTATTCAGTGTGAAACCCTTGCCTGTTTAGTGGAACACAACTCACAGGAATTGAAGAAAGACAAAAAAAAGAGTTTGAATTTTTCCTCCTGTCGCTGACAGATCGATGAATGAAGACAAAGTTTTCCGAGCAATTAAGTCAAATTGGATAATTTTCCACGCCACACCTGATGATTTCTCACGGTACGTGTGTGTGTGTGTGTGTGTGTAACAGCACTGTGGTTGGGAATTAAATGACCTTCAGCTGTGAAGCACAGGACACCGATTCAATCTTTTTCTGCTGAAGACTTACAGGTGTACGACAGTGTTTTGACCACGGTGACTCCACTTGAAAGCGTAATTATCAGTATTCACTGCCAGTGTCTGCTCTACCCTGGGTTTTTTTTTACTTGTGCTCAGTGAATTGTGACTTAACAAGTTTCAGAATCATTGATACGAAAGCAAAAATATCAGAATCAAATGGATTGTTTTCTCTCTCTTTTTCTTTCTGCTTGTGTTAAAACAGAACTTGGAGAAGTAATAACATGATTCTTCGTCAGCTCATTCTGTTTGGCTCATTGTATTTATTTATTTATATAATAAACTCTCTGGTCAGTCAAAATCCCTCTGTAGCAATTTTCGGTTCTGTGTTGTGTGCTTTGTTACTTTGTTTTGCTCCAAATAGATAGAGTTATTTACACTCCAACGCCTGGAGAGTATCATGTTCTGAATTCTTTACCAACTCATGCAATAACCAATAATTATATAGTACTCAGCACTGCTGCTATCAGGAGGACCTATAATTTGCCATTTTTTATTTAAAAAGTAATCAGCCTTATTGATGATGACCTTTGTATGACCTTTGGAGACTTGGTTCTGTCTGTGTATCGACAGATCTATTAAGAATCATTGATTAACAATTATCACAGCCAATATTATCACCAGTCCAGGCCAAACAAAAATATTTTCTTTCCAATGAAGTCAAGTTAAATCAGAGCAGCAACAACAAACACAAGAAATGTAAGCAAGGCAAATAAACCTACTTTTAAAGCTGCATGTCTTCAGACTCAGAATAATAATAATAATAACAATGTACTAATTATTACAACGTCATAGCCTCCGTCCCCTGTGTGTCCAGTTACTGTAGGTATTTCTCAGTTGACAGCAGCTACAGCAGCCGTCTTATCAGCTCACACTAGTCCGGCTGTTGTCCTCTGAACTCTGGTGTAAACAACAACATGCTGTTCAGTGAATTTTGGTTTTTGGACCATTTTCTGTTTTCCACTGCAGATGGCTGTGTCAAAAAACTCTACTAACACAGCAGTTTCTGTCCAGTACAAAGTCACCGAGGTCACTTTGTTCTACAGTCCGATGCTCTTCTGTCACCTCTGCAGGTGGTTCACACACCTGTGTGTCTAATTACTGCTGATTAGATATTTGCATTAACAAGCAGTTAACCAGTTGGCTGGTGATTGTGTACAACATAAAAGCTACGATGCTCCTCCGCCGCCACGTCGACAACAAAACTATTCTTCAAAGCAGCACCACTGCTACTGTCGTGCCCTGTGTGTGCGATGTGGAGATTATTACTGTGAGGTGTCTCAGTACCTACTCATGGTCTTATCTCTGGGAACTTATTAGTTGGATTTTGCTGCTTCCACCTCATTGTGTTTGTTTGCACCGGTGGTGTCAGTGAGCAGAGCAGGGGACACTCCAGTCTGACAGTTTCTTCTACCAACTATTGATTTTTCTGCACCAGTCGTTTTAATGAATGGCCAGTTGCTCAAGCTTTCTCTCTCTCTCTCTCTTTCTCACTCACTCACACACACACACACATACACAGAGAGGTAAATTTGCTTGTCATAACAGTTTATATTTGTCCGACCGTTTCATTGACCTTCGCTGATGCTCAGGGTGCAGGTGCACATCAAGCAGGACGGCTGCACATTAAATGAAATGCATGGCAGCTTTTAGCACCTGACATCAGCACATTTCCAATCGTGAGCCGAGAGCTTTACTTTGCAAAATTTACCATAAATCTATGGAGTTAAAGTCACAGAGAAATAGTTTTGCTCTGCTGAAGTCCCCGTGATTGAACACCTGTCCCTGAACATTCATTCTGTCGCGTCTAGAATCCGCCGTGATGATAGTTCACAGAATCTCTGCCTCAGGTCAGGTATTGAACAGGATCCGCTCCAGGGGATAATTATAACCAGGCTATTGATTTACACTCATCGTACTGTGTAAATACGAACACACAAACCTCCAGCAAACCCACAAACACTCAGCTTGCAAACACACCACCACAAAGAGGCTAATGCAACAAAAGGGTTACAGCTAGGCTAAAGACAAGCGAGTTAGAACATAGTTGAATATTAACCAAAATAATTTCACAGAATTTGAGTTACTACTCCATTCATCAACATGTAACAAATGTGAGCCAAAGAACATTACAGTTTGTCAAAATTAAATTCACGTTCCCCTCTGCCTTGACTGCAGTGTGTCAGGATTTCCTTGTCCTGATTGGTGGCAGTTTGTTGCACAAGGTTAAACTCTGTCAGGGTCAGTCAGAGGTCACACACGTGACAGGAGTGTGAACTTTTATGTCTAACTCCTTCAAGCTTAATTTGCCATTACTTTTACAAATTTTACTTGACATTTTTCCAAATGAATCACTCAATCATTTAGTTTAGTCAAAAATAAAAACATCTGTGAAGCACAGACTTCGACTTGTTGTTATTTGTCTTTCTGTTCCAACAACATACAGAATTCAGCCCAGTATTCTGTGATGAACAGTAGATGGACAGATACGAGACAGCAGCTCCAGGAGAACAACCCACACTGATCATGACGGACAGATGTAATTAGATGCAATATAATAACGACCGACGTTCATTTTCAGAATGAATGAATTTTGTTTCATACCAATGTAGGTGTGTCATCATTATCCAATAAATGGACTTGATTAGATTAGATTATTGTAAAATGGAAAACTCAATATGAAGCAGCTCAACTTCAGATTCATAAACTAAGTTCCTCTTTAAGTCTGAATGGGCACAACAGGGAGAGAGAGAGACAGAGAAAGAAAGAAAGAGAGAGAGAACAAAGACTCCTGCAGCCGAGGCCTCGCAGCCAGGACGAGGAAGGCTAATAACGAGCAGTTCACGGGAGAAACGTGCGGTGTTGTGTCCATTCACATGGAAATGTGTAATTGTATAAAGGAGACCACACACATAAAGACATTTTGGGGGTGAATAGTGAGGCCGGGGCTCGCGGCGGGAGGTCTGCTCGTTTCTGTGCAGGAAGGCTAATGTCTGAAGTTCTCACGCTGCCCACTACGCTTGGCCAAGTGAGCCGAGGCTCGCTTTCCATACAGTCGCCATGACAACAGTGGCGATGAGTGGATGCCGAGGTTGAGCCTCTGTGGCTTCTGATCCCTTTGAACAGACACACAGTGTGAAATGGATATGCCTGTGTTGTAACCACAGGCTTTAGTTCAACTGCAATTACAGCCAAATTATGGGAGCAGTTGTTTTTTAACCAGCGTTTAAATTATTTTTGGCCAACCCCACAACAGGCGCCTGAAGGCATCAGTGAGGCTCTAACAACATTTCCAGTACAGTAATACTCCGTCTTTTTTTTTTCATAATGAGCCAAGTTTCAACCAAATCTTTTTTCTAAAGAATTAAAAACATTTCACTCGCTCCCACAGAGCAAATGAGAGAAAACAAACAAAACAAAACAAAGTGAATCTGTGTTCCCAAATTTCACTGAGATAGTTCTCTATAACAAGTCTGCAACTTAATTATTCCATTTATTTTTCCCCCCTCACATGAACAAATGATTTTTTACTGGAGTAACAGTGGAAGGGAATGATAAGGTTAGACCTCAGGTGAACTGAACAGATTTACTGAATATGACGTTTCTTCCAAATACGTTGGAGCCTTTTGAGTTTCAATTTCCTGCAAAAATATAATTGAATCTATTTGTTATTTCCAGCCTTCAGCTTCACAGGCTATTTATTAACCCTTAAATAATATATTTTTTTATGAGAAATCATCCTGAAATATAAAATATAACCTGTATTCACTCATTTAAAAAGAAATAACAGCCTTTGTGCAATAACATAGACAGCTTAGAATGAAAACTAATGGAATTAAATTTAATCTCACTGTGATTAAATCCAGTTTTGAGGCAATAAATCTGAGAGCTAAGGTGTGCAGCCCTGAACTGTAGGAGCTGAAGATCTACTTTGTTTATTTTCTTTCTTTTTGTTAAAAGTTCACTAAGTTCTACCACCTAATCCTTTTCATCTTATTTACTTCCTGTTTCCCTTCGTTCACCGTCATCTGTGTGTGTTTCAGTGGAGGCGCAGCCCTGTGTGACAAACCCCTGCCTGCATGGAGGAAAGTGTCTTCCTCAGGGAACAGGCTACAGCTGCTACTGCCCACAAGGGTTCGCTGGAGAGAACTGTGAGATCGGTGAGTGCTGCTGACACACACACACGCAGAAAATATCTCAGTAATGAAGTCTGCTCTGCATCATTGTGTGCATATTGACCCAGGGCTGTTGAACGGCCTATCGGCAGTTCAATGGACCTCCTGTCAATCACAGAGAGAGGAGAGGTTGAACTGAGGCGTGGGTCAAACGGGTCGCTTTAGTAAACGCCGCTGGTGCTGACTCATCAGTGACGGTATTTAAGAATGAAAAAATAATGGAATGGAATAAATTTAATTTGACTAAATTCCTCTCTGAAGTTAGTGCAGTACTACTCAAATAGTGGGGCGGGGCCCCCTTGGGGGGCGCGGTGAGGCGTCAGAGGGGGCGTGAGGGGCTTCCAATGGAATATGGCATACCATATTTACCATACATACTGCTGTAACGCTTGAACGATAACAAGTCTCCAGTCACTAGGTGGCAGCAAATCATACAGTCGTTTGTACAGATAAAAATATACATGTTATCATGTATATATTATCACGGGGTGGCAGAGGGGCATGACAGAAAATAATTGAGAACCACCGAGTTAGTATAAAAAAGTAGAAAAAGAATAATAATAAACTACAGGAATGAAAAAGTACAGATTTCTGAGTTAAGATGTCCAAGGATGTCATTCTCCTTTACGTTAAATATATATTTTCCTATATTTAATCGTATAAAGAGTGGCTGTGGCAGTTTTTTTAGCCGGATGCATCAACACTGTCACTCGAGTGTTTAATGCTCTTCTGATTTCATGTCAGCAGCAGGTCTCAGTTGGGGGATAAAATGAAATTGTTTGTGTGCAGGTTCAGTGTCAGTCAGAGGATTGAATACATCGGTGAGTAATGGCTCAGAGGATAAAGTGTTCCTTTGTTGTGAGGGAAAAAATGGCTGAGAGGCAGAAATTGCTGTTATTCTTTAATTACCCCTTCATGACTTGACAAATTATGTAGAGAAACAGAGATTCAGGCTTAATTAACAATAAATTATACACAGAGTCGTTAGAGCCGCACCTGACACGAACACCGATGAACCCGCCGACGGTTTATTAGAAATTCTGCCGATTAGTCTGCGAGACTAACTCTCCCCCTGAACGCCCTTTAATCCATTAGAATAAATCAGTGTTCAAATTCACATAATCTATCAATTGTTTTTGACTGTTTTCGTAAAGAGCAGGTAGAGTCAACTGACGAAACTACCTGTTTTCCTAATTCCTAATTCCTGTTTTCCAATAAATGTGCAGGGCACATGCAGGTGTGGTTTGCGATGTGCAGGGCACATGCAGGTGTGGTTTCCTGAAATTTATATTTCTGTGTAAAATTCACACATTGCTAATAGGTTGACATTATATATTTTGACATATTGACCATCCCTACCATTCAACCTTGTCATAAATTAAGCATGGGCCCAGACACAGGTCCTGGAGAGGCCACATGTTGACACAGAGGTGTAAATCAGGCCAGACCTGATTCGTTCCTTAACAGATGCTCAGCTCATTAGGCAGCCGTTCCTCAAGGAAGTTATCACTTTATGAATAAAAATGACACTCATCGGTATTCACAGACCACAGTGGACAACGGACACCTTAGCGCTTAGCTCGCTCTGTGAAGTTCTGCGGCGGAAGGGGGAACAGATTGGAACAACAGGCCGACAGTTGAAGCGATATTCAGCAGCTGATGTGTGGGTTTGCTGCAAGGCTTTGTTACGGATTTGCAGAATTTGCAGAATAATCCCTGTGAGGAGCAGCTTCACACTCACTGCACAGTGAGTCAGAGACAAGAGGGATCAGACTTCCATTCATTGACACAGAGCGGGACTGATTTACATGAAAAGAGAGAGGCCTGTGTCTACGACAGCATTACAGCATCTCAAGGTTATTCAAGGCCCTTGATGAGGTGGTAAACACGGGGGAGACCACTTTATGGTTCAACTTTATCATTGTTTCTCAGGTGAATTCATGTGTCTTTATGTGACATTTGAATCATAAATATGGTGTAAAAGCTCCGTCCAGTTGTCCTGGAATGGAGACTTACTCTTATATCTAAACAAAGGCTAAACATTTACCACATCAAAAGTCTGAGACGTGCATAAAAATAAGCCAAAAGGAAAAGTAAACATCACCTGTTTTTAATCTCCAAACTCAATTTTTTCTGTACCTCGTCTAACTGTCATCTTTAAATCAGATAAAAGGCCGCTCCTGTCAGATGAGAGTAAAGCAAAACACTTTGATGCGTTGGAGTAAACTGCATTTGAAGTTAAAAACAATCTGAGTCACAGCCGTAATCCTGCAGCACGCCGGAACACGTTGACAGATGCATCAGAAGTCGAAGGAGACAATAACCTCTGTGGAAACATCGCAAAAACTTTGAGGAAGTCTTACGTGAGACTCAAGGAGAGTCCGCTCCGTCACTGAGCTTTTAATAAACGTCATTTGGACACAGGCTATTTCTGATATTCTGGCTCCAAACAGTGCCACAGTGGTGGAAAAATGTATGACGGTTCATGTCACTTATTTTCAGTAACAGTGTTGGTTTATTGATCCATGAAGACAAAAACAGTCACAGCAGTTAGAGATGGCAGTTTGGAGCTGGTACTCGATCTGGTGTTATTCAAGTTCTCCTCAGAGAAAGTGGGCCAAAACCAAGTCCAGCCTATCTGTTCGCCTGTCCGCTGAATTTATGTTGCTCTTCACTTTCACAGGCTCCACAGAGAATCAAAGAGGTGTGCAGCGCGCTCTTTCTCTCTCATTCAGCCTTTTGTAAACAGCGACAAAAGGAGACAGCGGTGAAGGGACAAAGGGAGTGATTAGACTTAAATCAAGTTAACCTTAAGTCCTTCACATGCGTAAAGACGGATGTACGAAAGCGTGAAAGGGGCCTGAAGAATGGTCTTGTGTGAGGGGAATAAAGACCGCAGGAATGTAAAGAGTCACGGGTTGAATTCTCATCGCATTCTTTCAACACAATTCTGTACAATGCTGTACATCAGGCTTAGAAATAAGCAGCAGTTCAGAGCAAAAATGCCCTTTGAATACAAGAATATGAATAGTATTTAAAGTGTAAAATGTGTACTTATATATATATATATATATATACCACATCTTCATCTCCTCCACCTCAGCCTTCTGTCTATTGTTAACCACCGTCTCTCAACCATAAATCATAGCAGACCTCACTACTGTCCTAATAATCTTCCCTTTTAACATTACCGCTATTCTTCTGGAATCGACATATCTGTTATTTTCTCCCATTTTTCCCCTTCTCTGAAGATGTCGATGACTGTCAGTCTGAGCCATGTGAAAATGGAGGCACCTGCATCGACAAGATTGATTCATTCCTCTGCCTCTGCCTGCCCAGCTACGGGGGAGACACATGCGAGAAAGGTGAGAGGACACATTTACACACACACGCACGGATAAACAGGAGTTTATATATATATAAATAAATTGAGCAAATAATGCTAAACGAATAATAGGAAATAAATAAAAACTACCAGAAGAAATAGCTGTGTTTTTCTGTGAAACTAATAAGAAAATGAATTAATTAGAAATTTAAAAACATGAACGTTTCTCAGGTGATTAACATTAAAGTAAAGGTTACTCAAATAATTAGCTAAACAATAAATGAAAGTTGCTAGAAGGCAAAAAGTAAATAAAAATGGGAAAATAAAAAAAAGGAAAAACCTGAGTCAGGAGATTAGCCTGGGCAGAGCCAAAATTAGGTCAAAATGTTTTGGAAATGAAGCCAAGGTTTGTCAAAAATACGTGTTACAGGGTTCAAAAATGTTTGAATATATCTTATCCCCGGTTCAAACACAAGTCAGCCATATTTGGAAACGTCTCTCTGTGTTTTGTTCAGAAGTCTGACTGCCTCCCACTCCTTCCTGCCTGTACACTGTACACGCTGCATGTGTCACACAGTACGGGCCACAAATATCCCCTATAGAAAAGCCTCACCACCAACCATGTACACAACCACTGGAGCTGAGTCATCAGCTGACTGACTCCTGCTCCCTCCACACCACCTGTGTCTGTGTGTGTGTCTCTGTGTGTGTGTGTGTTACTAATGAGGATTAATGAATATAAAACCTCTGCAGTTCTAAATGACTCCAGGAGCCCTGCTCTTATTAATGAATACTAATAGTGCAGAGAGAGAGAGAGAGAGAGAGAGAGTACGTGAGCAGTGAATTGAAAACAAACCTGTATAATCACACTTCTGCTATTTGGCCTCTCTGGAAGCCAGAGTCATATATTTTACTCTTCAACTAGACAAACTTTTAAAAAAAGCAAGAAAAAAAAAAAAAGTAAATTGTTCCTCAGCCTCCTCCCCTCCTCCCAGCTCAGTCCGACTATTTTATCTTTCTCTGTGTAACTGCTCTTTACAATGCTTTTACATCGCCCCTCCAGGAGTCATTTTACCTCTGCTTCTCACCCCCCTCTCCCCCCACCCTCCTTTCTTTTCATCTTGCAGACATCGAGGGCTGTGAGCACGGTTGGTGGAAGTTCCATGGCCACTGTTACAGGTAGGATCAGTGACAACACCCACCATCACCACCACCATCATGGCAGGGCTCTCATCTGTCTGCATTACCTCTTTACAGCCTTGAGGAATGCGTGACATACTTAACGTCTGAACCGTTCACACACACACACCTGTCTCGCTTCATGATGGATGTACGAAATGTGGTATTCTCACACCTGCCGTGTGTGTGTGTGCCGCTGTTACAGGTACTTCAGCCACAGACACACGTGGGAGGACGCCGAGAAAGACTGCAGAGAGCACAGTGCTCACCTCAGCAGCGTCGTCTCCACTTCAGAGCAGGGATTCATCAACGGTGTGTGTGCGTGTGTGTGTGTGTTCCTCCTGCTCAAGTCTTTTATATTTAACACTCGGTCCGAGCCTCACAAACAGAATGAGGAAAAAAAGTCGATGAAACTGCAGCGGATTAAGGAGATTGTTTATGAAAAAAAAGTTTTTACACAGTTAGTCGTCCCTCAGAGAATACGATATTCTTCCCAGAACCTATAAATAATTTACTTTTTTTTAAAATTTAATAATGTAAAGAAAACTTGTTTAAAAAAGTACTGGGATCTATATTTCTCATCTATTATTTCTGGACTAAGTTTCAGGAACTTTTAGTTCAAATTTGAATCAAAAGTATGTTAGATTTTTTAGAATTTTTTCAATTTTTTTAAATAATTTCTAGCTTTTATTATTTTTTATTTATAGGATTCTTTTGACCTCGTTCTACCTGACGTGGATGGTTAAATCCTTACAATGTTTTTTGAATATATTCTTCAAAAAAGATTAAATTTATTTTAGTTAAAAAAAATACACACTGACATACAACATGCATTCATCCAAAAACTAAAAACCTTTCTAATAAACCCCTGTTTATGTCCCTGGCATCAGGAATTTGGACTATAATGTCTGGTAATATACTGAGAACTCACAGTTCTGCAGGAAACACTGGTCTCCATCGTAATCCAGATGTGTTAGTTCACAGTGCCATGCAGGGAAGTGTGAATAACAAAGGAGGAAATAAGTCACAGCAAGCAATTCATGTGCAAATGAAGTGATAAGAGAAATATGCTGGGCTCGACAAAAAAAGAAATCTCCAGAAAGAGTGAAAGAGCAGCGGTGGATGAGGACGAGCGTGTGGATAAAGGAGTCTTTCACTGTGTAATGAGGTCACGGATTCACTCTGTGCTGGTGTTTCTGTTGAAGGCCTGGGCCACGACAACGCCTGGATTGGACTGAACGACCGCACAGTGGAGGAGGATTTTCAGTGGACGGATGGAAATGATCTGGTTAGTGACACAGGTTTACTCACACTGATATGTGAAGATCAAGAACTGCAAATTGGTGGCAGGAATCACAACTTCTGCAACACATACTGCGGCGTTAATGAGGGACAGATAGAAGTGTCAGAGGGGAAAAAAGAAAAGTCTGTTCGAAAAACAGGCTGAATCATGCTCACGCTGTAAACACACAAGTGCTACGGAAAGTTTCTGATGAACTGTTGTTTGGAAACTTTATAATACTACAACACAATGTTGCCTTAAAGCCACTGAAGGAAGCAAAACTATGAGACTGCCGTTACAGGGAATCAGGTCAGGGTTTTCTCCAAACATTTGAGGATAACTCCCAAACAAATTGCATTTATACAAAAATATTTTAATAGATTTTAAATCGATGAAATGCTTTCATAACCTCCTGCCAAAAGAGACAAATTTATCTTTTGAAAGTCCTTTAAAAACCATCATACAGTAGCTGCTACCACTGGTGTTAGCTTCAGTAGAAGCTATCATCCATCCATCCACCCATCCATCCATCCACCCACCCATCCATCCATCCACCCATCCATCCATCCACCCACCCATCCATCCATCCACCCACCCATCCATCCATCCACCCATCCATCCATCCACCCATCCATCCATCCACCCACCCATCCGTCCACCCATCCACCCATCTGTCTACAGTGTCTGTCTACAGTATCATAGTCCACTAATGACTTCTCTCCACTTTTCAGTGATTGGTTGGTTTGTAGCTACGTCAGGTTGCATGCTCGGCTACACTTTAAACCAGCTGCTCCTAAAACTAATAGAAAACTGCGTTTAAAACGTGTAAAACGTTGTGTCCTTCCATGTCCTCATTTAAATACTGATTCATTTTAGCCTTGAACAGAGAATGTTAACAGATTAGAGGTCTGGGGTCCAGACAGAAGCGACAAATGAAAATGAATGTGGCTGAACCCCGCTGTCTGCTGCTGCGCTGCAGGTTTTTGAGAACTGGAGGGAGAGCCAGCCAGATAACTTCTTCGCAGGTGGTGAGGACTGTGTGGTGACCATTGCCCATGAGGACGGCAAGTGGAACGATGTGCCCTGCAACTACAACCTGCCCTATATCTGCAAGAAAGGCACAGGTACGTACCGCAGTGCAGCTACAGTACAAATACAGTAACAGTTTCACAGTTTCAGAAGAAGCAAAATCATTGTTGCACATATATCTACGACAACATCTGTCCTCGGAGTTTAACCCTTCACTGAGGAGCAGTAAACCCAGGGAGGTTTCTTCAAGCAACGTACACCGACTCCATGTGATTTAGCAGTTTTGACTTTTCGTGTCTTTCTTTGTAAAGTGATTTATCCTCCAGAACACCAAGGGAGTTGTTCTATCTCTTCCACATCACTCCCACTAATTCAATATAACTGGTTGCACATCTGCTTCCTCCTACCAGGCTCTGCACAGTCGGCAGAACTTCTGTTTTATTACCTTCAAACTTTTTATTCCATTTTCCCAAGCATATGTTTATACCTAACATGTGGGAGTTTTTTTATGATTTAACAACATGGAAATATTGTACACAATTTCATGTAGAAGCACCGGGACACTCTTATCTGCCTGATCTGGCTCAACCAGCCTGAATGTCAATACGTTAGGAGCTACATAATCGTAGACGATCAGAGGAGATGGAGGATGTCCAAGAAAATATGAAAAAAAAAAGATGGAAGAAGAAAGATGTGGAAGTAGAGGGAGAAAAGAAAAGAATAGTTGATGGTGTTTGTTATTCCAGCCGTGGTTTGTGACTCTGTGGTTTGGCTCTAGTCCATGTCTGCTGCAGAGACCATTACCTCCCTCTGGTCCACCAGCGCTGCTCTACTGTAAGCTGCAGCAGCAATGCTGCCATCTACAGGCAGAAGTACATAGAAATGATGAACCTACACAGCCTCACACTCATACACTGGTTTCTTGGCTGCGTTCAATGCCAAGACATTCTCTGTCCTTAATCCACACACGTTAAGGAACTATTTCGATGCAAAGTAATTTTACGCCTGTCAAACTGATTTCCCCTATTTCGATGCAAAGTAACAATTTTACGCCTGTCAAACTGATTTCCCATGGTTTTTCCCTCTATGGCCACAAGCTTAGATATTTCCTATAAATAAATTAAATAATATAGAAATCCATACCTATGATTTCTCTCATCTCTGGATCACTTGAATGCACAAAGGGACACAGGAACAGGACCTAAAATAAATAATTGAGACCATAGATTATTTAAAAAATAGAAAATTAAAAAAACAGATTTAAGGTTTTGTGCATGATTTCACAGATGACCTTGATTGTTTTTCTGCAGTGCTGTGTGGGACACCACCCATGGTGGAGAACGCCCATTTGGTGGGTCGAAGGAGGTCACACTACGACATCCATTCCGTGGTGCGCTACCAGTGCTCTGAAGGGTTCTTCCAGCGTCACATTCCCACCACTCGCTGCCGGGCTGACGGCACCTGGGAGAGACCCAGAATCATCTGCAAAAAGTGTGAGTATTGGAGATTCTAAAAGAGCTCAGATTTATGACTGAACTTGACTTGGACTCAATAAGTACTTCAACCCTTTTGTTGGTCATCATGATCTCACCTAAAGGTGAGGTAAACCCTGGACCAATGTTCAGACACCCATTCACACTCACAGTGTCCATTTAGAGTCTTTAAAGCAGTGGACTCATGAATCTGCATGTGTTTAGACTGTGGGTATATAAATCTGAGGAGAATCAACAGACAGAGAGCACAAAAAGACCAGAGGCAGAATGCAGATTTGAACTTCTGACCTTCTTACCACGAGGCCTCAATGCTAACCATTAACATACCCAAGTTATGTGACTCGACTCCAAATTCCTGTCATGTTCGGCTACAAAATTAGCCTAAAAAAAATAACAGATAAAATGACAATAAAAACAACAATTGCTCATGCAGTGATACAAACCCTGGGCTTTTAGAATACTTAAAGTGACTTTCCTGGCTTTTTACCATATTGATATCCTGTCAGCAGGTAAGGAGTTTGTTGTTTCCAATGTGGCCTATGGGAGTTTGGACCAATTTAACATCAATAAAACTCATAAGATCACATTCTACACTTTATTGAACACATTTAAGGCAATTTGGATTGCTTTGTGGCTCAGCTTTAGCTTTTTGTGGGGTTGACTGTGGGTTGTCAGTCAGAATTTATCCAGTTTTAACATTTAGATTTGTCTTAGCGAACAGTTTGTCTCCCTCCTGGCTGACATTAGTTATTGTTAGGCCACTTAAACACCGTGTTTATGCTTAAGTTATTTATATAACATATTTCATTTTAATTATAACCTCATTTCTAGATCACACAGAAAAACATAGGTTTATATATATATATATGGGAACACAGGCAGAACAAAAACCCAGCATACACTGAGATTGGACGAACACATTTAAATGCAGACTGTGGTTCAAATAAATAAGATTATGGTATTAAAATAAAGGAAATAAGATCATAAAGAAATAAGGGATATAAAAGAACAGGAGGTAAAAACAGGTAAATAAAACAAACAAATGGTACAGGTAAAAACACAAACCAATAAAAGCATCTGAGAACAACAAAACTGGAGTGAAGTGTGGTGGATAAAACAATAAGATTAAACAATAATAAATAGTATAAAAAATATGGAAATCAATAAGAAGACATGCTTATGTACAAGAGGAACCAGGATCAGGCAGCACTTGGTCAACAAAGGTCAGGCACAGGAAGTCTAATTAATCAGTTCAACCCAAATATCCAGTATATTCAACAGGAACTGAGTCTTTCTTCAACATCAGACACACAGGAACAAAGTATATAAAAAACCACAACAGGAAGCACCAAAAAACAGACCTGAGCACACAGAACACAACCAGCACAACACTGACCTTGACAAAGACAGAGTGAGGGAGAGAGGTGACGTTCCAGGGCACCAGGTGAGACGAGTGACACTGACGAGCAGGGACTCCACAGGTGAGAGGGATCAACCTGATTAACCCTGGAGAAACACACAGACAGACCTGACACAGACGCCCTCACACCAGTCTGTAACCAGGGCTTTTTTTATTTCATCAATAAACTCTTTGATACTTTATCAACTGTCTGTCCTCACCTGGTTTATTCATTAAAGACTAATGAGGATCGTCCTTCCTTTCACAGCTCGGCGCTCACACCGGTACAGACGGCACCACCACAACCAGCGCCGTGAACGTCACATCCACAGGAGACACGGTGGAGAGGGACACAGGGCCAGAGAGGAGGCGCACAGCTACTACTGAACCAAATAACACAACGTCTGCGATGCCTGGGTGCTAACGATGGCTCGTCATCTCCTTTATTATTTTCCTTTCCTGCTACTGACACCTCGTCTCTGTTTAGCCCAGTTTTTCAACATAAAGTTCATCTTTATAAGATCATTCCTGAACACGGCCGTTTCTTTGTTTACCCACAGTCGTCAACACTAACTCCAGACACTAACTCCCATTAACACCCTCCGTTTCTGACGTTGCTGTAACAATAAAAATCTTCACACGTATTTATGAGCTGAAGGTTTGAGTGGCAGCATGAACAGTGGATGGAAAATGGTCTACACACTGTAGATGTAAAATAATGACACCTACATAAAACTACTGAGGTTTGTCTCTGATCAGTATCTGACTCTGTTATCGGTTCATTGAAATTGTATGATTCCAATCTATTTAGAGGAGAAGAATAAGAATAAGATGGCCCATTCCAAGCCCAGACCTAAATCCAATCTCAAATCAAAGCAGTGACATGAGATGTCCACAAGAAGCGCCACAGCACTCAGATTTGGAGCACTTTTTTGAGTGGAAAAATAGACCAAACCCAGATGTACTGTGAAGAGAGGCTCCTGCGTCCAACACATACTAATTTGGTGAACCATTTTTGAAAAGAAAAAAAAAAAAAGATGTTTCATTAGCAGTCTCATCTCTGAGGCCCAGACACTCCTGCCTCGAGTCACCTCCAGCAGCTCCTCCTGGTGATCCCGCGGTGTTCCTGAGCCAGCTGGGAGATGAAGTCTCTCCATCTGGGTGTCATTGTTTCACATCAAAAACCTGTCCGTTTAACAGATGTGCGTGGATTTATTGGCGTCCTCTGTAAGAGACTGCTGCTGGTTTACTCTGTTTTGTAAAAAAAAAAAAAAAAAGAAAGAAAAAGAAAAGAAAAGCTTCTTCTACCTGTAAAAAAAAACGGACTCTCATCTTAGTTTTCTGTTATCAAAGCACAGATGTAAATGATGCAAGACAGCGTTCAGTCGTTTAGTAAGCTTTTGTATGTGTGCTCTAGTCGTTACTTTCCTCATTTAGACTAAGTGAATAGCTGCTCTGTCCAGATCTACTGACACCTACTGTGCGTGTGTAATGTTACTATTTATTCTCGATCATTTGCAAGTGAATATGCTTTTATTTTAACTTATATTTACGTCTTTTTTCAACAATCAATGGGTAACTACATGAGTCATTTGATTGCCTCTAATCTCTGTGTAGTAAATAGTTGTTCTGTTTGTTTATTGGCTGATCCCTGATCAATAGCTGGACCTTGTCCAGTGAATGTCCCCTATCTCCATATACAGGCCCTGTCCACTGATGCATACACTCTGTCCCACTGACACACTAAGTCTGGACGGGATAACGGCGTACTTATCTGAGATAACAACTTGATTGTATCTGAATTGTTAAATACTCTGAGTCTTTGCACGGCTGTGTCGACCTAAAGAGTAGAATGTCACGTTGGTGGTTTTCTTTTTCATCTTTTTGATATTTGATCATTCACTTGTTACGTTCCTACGGCCTTTTTGTCCTGCTGTTGTATTTCATTCTTAATAAAGACACAAAAATTGACTTAAATGTTTTTAATTTGTCCTCACCTGTGATTCATACCTCACCTGCTCCACACTGTGCGACACACGGTGACATCACCAGACAGGCACAATTTCAACTTAATTTAGAATCATATATTATACAGTTAGCCATACAATATTATGGCTAACTTCAGTTCAGCCATTTTGCTACATGTAGTAGTCACATGTTTCTAACTAGCACTAGAGCTAATGGCTATTTTGCCAAATGTTGGCTGAGTTTACTCGTTTACTTGTGTGAAACCGTAACTTTATCCTGCTTCAGTTTGTATTGTTCATTTAAACTTAATATATCATATATACATTGACTCTATACACCTCCATTTTTTCTCATTGTTAAATGTTTTAGGAGGATATTTTAAGTGTAATTTCAAAGTTTATTTAAAATTGTGAAGTGGTTTGTGAATCTAGGCTACACAAATAATATTGACTTGTTTAGATCTAGTATTGGCTCAGACTGGAAACTGGTGGCATGTCATATTATTTTTTGCCATTTTCCAAACTTTCAACAACATGTTTTCAGGTAGTATTTAGCTTTTTCTATATTTTAGCTGGATGCTAAGCATTTTTCTGAATAATTTGGTCTGTTTGGGAATCCCTGTGCTTTGTAGGATTTTTATTTTACAAAAGAAGTGGAACAGAAATGAGCTTTTTTTCATTAATTATTCAAACCGATTGACAGCAGAAGACACATGTCATTTTCAAATGTACAAACCAAAACTTGTTTTGGAACGCAGAGAGAACAGGCGTTACACAGCACTGGTCAGAATGTGGTTTTCAGTAACATCTCACACTCTACTGTGTTAGCCTGATCACATGTTGACAGTGTTCATTTTGTCAGGTCAATCTCTTAAAAAATGCTAGTCATGTGATGCTAATAAAGCTAATATCCTCTAGTTGATTCACCTGAGAGCTGTGCAAGACGATCACAACCTCAGCTGCTGCCTCCTTATCAGGGTTCAATAGTCCATGCAGGGAGTGCTGGCCTTGGTGGCTTATGTTTTTAACTTTCTTTTTGATGGATGAAAATGGGTTTGAGTTCAGAAAAAAATTCTCCAGGAAACATCTTTCTGGTTGGGTTTTTCTCAGCAGTCTGTGGGCGGTGTGTGTGTGCTTTTATTTGTTCTTCTTCTCACCGTTGGTCTGGCCTGTGGGAACAGGTGTCAGAAAAAAGGCAGGGTTGCTGTGGCAGCGCAGGGCCAGCAGAGTGGGCACAGCCGCCAGCAGCACATTTAGACTGATAACAGGCCACCATTTGTCTGATGGCACCCTGTAAGTGAAGGGAGTGCGGGAGTGCAGAGATCCACCAATGTGGCACCACTGGGTCTGGACAGAGTGGAGGCAGAAGCAGTGTTGGAAAGTTTGAATTAGATTCTGCTGCAATAGAAGGTTTTTTTTTTTAAAGGAACAGAAATGAAAGTAAAAACCCACGTACCTGAGCCATGGCTCCTGCAAAAAAGAGGGTGCAGTCCAACACCCAGCCACAGCCAGGTGTGTATAGACCATAGATGATAAGAGTCAGCAGAGGAACAGCGTAGAATAAATAGACCAGCATCTGAAAACATGACACACGATCATCAGCCAGGATAGATTACTGCAGAATATTTAGTATAAAGCAGTCAGTCATCAGACTCACCATGATCCTGGGGAACCCAACTGGGTCTTTGAGATATGGCTCATACTGATAAATGTAAGTGAAGCAGGTGTCCAGAGGACAGTCCAGCACCACCTACAGGACAGCAAAATAAATATACAGCAATATTAGGAATATATTTTAAAATCTCATGGACCCTGTGGAGTGTTTTTTAAGTACCCTCACGGATATCCATAGAGAACCGTTGTTTTAAATCATTTCTCACGGTC